AGCCCCCCGGGCCCGAGACGCGAACCACGGGTCGACTACGTGGGAGTCCAGCGACATAGCCATTACGCTAACTGCTGGTTCCCGAGGAGGTGATTTCTTATTGTCTCTCTGTCTCTGTCTCTCCAGCAAGCACACGAGCTCCGTAGCAAAAATCTCTCTAAAAAAATGTAAACTTAGACAAGATTAAAATTCCTCAATCACACTGGTCACATTTCAAGTGACCAAGGGGCCGGGCAGATGGTGTGGTAGTTAAGGGCACTGGACTCCCACATGGCTGAGCATGGTTCGAGTCCTGAGCCTAGTGGCTTGCTCTCTCTCCCTCTCTCTCACTCTGTCCCTCTCTGGTCAAAGCAAAAATAAACAAAATAAGTTAAATAGAGTAATTCTTAAGAAAAAAAAATCAGGGGAACCAGCAGTTGACATAATGGCTATCGCTGAACTCCCATGTAGTCTACCATGGTTTGAATCCTAGATCCCGTGGCTTAAGATCACGCTGGGCACGTGTGGGTGCGTGTCCAAGATCCCGAGAGGAGAATGGAGAAGACGGGATCGTGGCGTGGCCATCCTCCTGGGGTATGATTTCTCGCTTTTTGTTTCTGTCTTTCACACGCCCTATAGCAAAAACCTCTCCCCACAAAAAACAAAAACAAAAACAAACAAACAAAAAAAACAGGGCTGGCAGGAATCATGGTGATTAAGGGCACTGGATTCCCACATGGTTGACCACAGTTCGAGTCCTGGACCTAGCGGCTTGCTTTCTCGCTTTCTTTTTCTCTGTCTTGTTAAATTAAAATAATAACTAATGGAATTAAATAAACAATTCTTTTTTTGGTGGGGGAGAGGTTTTTGCTATAGGGCTCATACTCTTGCTAGAGATGGAAAATGAGAAATCACCCCCCAGGGGGGATGGCCACGCTGAAATCCCTTCTCTTCTATTCTTCTTCCAGGATCTTGGGCATGCACACAGGCACCCAGCATGAGTTTAAGCCACCGGGTCCAGGATTTGAACAGCAGTTGTTGACTCCATGGGAGTCCAGCCACATAGCCATTACGCCAACTTCTGGTTCCTCAACTCTTTTTAGAGGTGGGGTTTTTTTGTTTGTTTGTTTTGCTATAAGGAATGTGCACTTGCCAGAAAGACACAGATCCAGAAAGCGAGAAACCACCCCCTGGGGGGATGGCCACGCTGCACTCCCTTCTCCTCCATTCTCCTCTCGGGATCTTGGGAAAGCACATGCACCTGGCGTGAATTTAAGCCACGGGGTCTGGGACTCAAACCACGGTAGACTACATGGGAGTCCAGCAACATAGCCATTATGCCAACTGCTGGTCCCTAATTAAACAAATCTTTTTTTTATTAAAGAATTATATATTTAATTTATCGGGAACCAGCAGTTAGCGTAATGGCTATG